ACAAAACCCATGATCTAATAATGAATGACCGGCGAGTTACTGAACGATTCATAGCTGGGGTAGTTGGTATTAGCCAGGAGAGAGTTCATTCTATTATCACTGAAACTTTGGAAATGACATTGGTTTCAGCACGATGGGTGCCAAAGCTTTTGACGCCTGATCAAACTCGTTCAAGACACATCATGTCAGAAGAGAATCTAGCCTTATTTGAAACCGATCTTGGCCGCTTCCTAAAACAAATTATTGTTACTATGGATGAAACTTGGGTCCACCACTTTCAGCCAGAAACAAAAGAGCAGTCAAAACAGTGGAAACATGTGACGTCGCCGACCCCAAAGAAGGCAAAGACTGTTTCATCGACAGGAAAGGTGATAGCCTCAGTATTCTTGGATTCTGATGGTGTTCTCATGGTGGATTACCTCCAAAAGGGTCAAACAATTAACGGTAGATACTATGCAGCAATTATAAGGCAGTTGAGGCAATAAATTTAGACCAATAAACGAGGAAAGCTGACCAAAGGTGTGATTTTCCACCAGGACAATGCGCCAGTGCACAAATCAGCTGTTGCCATGTCAGCAATCCAGGACTGTGGTTTTCAACTCCTCAGCATCCACCCTACTCTCCTAATTTAGCTCCCTCAGACTTCTATCTGTTTCCTGCACTGAAGAAATGTCTTTCCGGTAGGCATTTCCCGTCTGACGATGACGTCATTGCCGCTGTGGATGATTTTCTACACACCCAAGACAAAGACTTCTACAGAACTGTAATAAAGGCTCTGCAACACCGATGGCAGAAGTGTATTACATTGAAGGGGGACTATGTTGAAAAATAAATGCATTTGATTTGAATTTCTTGGTTCTTTCTGTGTTAGGCTCACTACTTATCAATCACCCCTCGTAATATTTAACTTTAACTTATTATACAGAGAATTATATCTTTTTTTCATTCAGTTAATAAAGTTCATTCATAATTGTCAGTACGTGTTAAAGGACAATATTTGTGTCAGTCATTATGTGGTAGGACTGGTTAAACACATTTCAGATAGTTTTAACACAGATGATATAGCTACGATAGATGCGTTATGAAGATTTCAAGAAAGGGAAGTGACGAAGGCAAAGGAAAACACGAGTTACCCTTCTATATAACTTACTGAAGTGCCGAATGATAACATATACACGATCGAATTTCTGCTCACTAATAAAACTTATGTGAGGCTGTGAGAGGATATCTGGTAATTCAAAAAAGTAATTGAATGTCACCTGATAAGGGAAAACGGGAAAAATAGAAACAGTCCTTACATTCCCTTGTTTTTATTCATTCTGTATGAATGGTAATGCACGGAATTTTTCTATTTTTCTCGTTATTACCCGTCACATCAGTCGGTTCTGTGTAACACTATTTCATGCCACCTACGGTTTCACAAATAAACGTTTCAATTCTGCATTTTATTTCCACCAACTCATCGGATGTCTAGCAGTGAAAACTCCTTTGTCTGCCACGCGGGATTTTCTTAATGATAACAGAGATCAGTTTAGTAAATACAGCATTTATTTAAAAAGGGAGCAGAATATCGCATACATCAACAACACAGGAATTTAAACTATACAGGAACTAGACTACGACAGGAACACACCAGGACGGTACATAGCTATATTAAATCCACCATTCCGCCCCTCTGTCAAGGCAGGCTGAACTTGGGTGAGTCCATGCCTCTCTTCTCCTCCCCGCTCGTCTCTGGTCGTCTCCTCCCCACCCGTTCATTTAAATGGGAACAGAATATCACATAGATACATAAATACAAAGGCACATAAATACAACGGTCCAAGCCTCGCTCCCCCCCCCCCCCCCGTCTCTGGTCGTCTCCGCTCGTCTCCTCCCCACCCCCGTCCGTTTCTCTGTCAGCAAACTACTGAATATATAGGGACCGACAATAGGGTAAATAGATAAGACTCATGATCATATATGGAATTGTATTTTATCACTGATCAGTGCATATATATACCTTTGAAGTCATGGGGAGCTTGAACACAGATCATATGTAAATGACATATGGGATTAATTAGAACGTGTTATTTTCCCTTAAAACAGATAATAATCGTGGTTTAATAATTAGCAAATTGTTGAATAGATAAGAACAGTGTTTAAGCCGTAAGAAACGATCCTTTCAATGAAAAAGGTTTGGAAATTGAACAGAGCAAAGTAATCATATCTAGCGTGTTGTGTAGTAATTCAATTAATTTAATAACAATTTTGTCATTTCAATTTCATTACTAAAAAAAAAAATAATTCCAATCGTTTGAATTGAAAATTAAGTTCTAAGGATTTGTATCTTTCACGTGTCGTAATATTTGCTTCTAGACGCAATATATACTTACATATATTAATTAATTGATAATAATTGAATGATAAAGGCATGTGACTAACCTAGTTTTAAATTAATTTGTTGTGTTCTACATATTTCCAATTATTAAAGATACATTATAAAAGAGCTAATTGCAGGTCTTTATTTTGGTTCCAAATGTAACAAAACAATTATTTAGACGTTTATTAACATCAAATCTCTACGGCATCGGATCTTCGAAATTCAAATGTTCATTTAATTTTAATTTTTATTTGCATAGCATTGCGTTTATAAATATTATTTTATGAATATAAATTGACAATTTTGAAGTTTGCTGTCTATAGTTATATAATGTACAAGATTAAAAATCTCTCTCAAATGTTTATTTATTTTATTTCTAATTCCTGTTCTTGATTACCTACAGCCAAACCGTTATTCATATAAAAAATTGACACACTGGTAGTAAATCATTACGAATAAAATTATGGGGATGCTCGATTCACAGCCCGGAACGTCCCGAATTGACAGAATTGCAATCGAGTGGCGCGGAATTCAGTCCTGTCACAGTTCTGTCAGTCCCGACGACGGAGGTGGTGTGAGTAGAATTGTGACGTATACTAAAGATTGCGAACAATATATACAGATGTGGAGACTGCCTCGAAGATTTTCCTAACATGAGGCTATTTGCATTACACACGTGTGCTTTGTCACGAGGTAAGTTACCTTTTATTCGTTAAACGAGCTATGTTTGACTTTGGCGGGTTTTCGGTCTTTGGAATCTTAAATACAACCCATTTTGAATTGATTTCACTTTCGGTTCAAGGAAAGGTAATATTGTAGGTAAAATATTCTTGGTTTTAAAGACACACTCTCGCTTGATGTCAGCGATTGGTAGCAATCTCTTTATGATTTGTCTGTTCAATTCATTAAGACATGCTCAAATTAAATTGTACCTTATTGAATACAGCATATCACGTTTACTCTCCGATCAACAGCGCCGAGCACAAGCATTTACCTTCGTTACCGGGAGAGGGGGGGGGGTATGGGGTGGCCGAATGGTTAGCACGTGGGCGCTGTAACATAAGAGGTGTCATTGAGTCAAGTGGCGTGGTTTCGATTCCCAGGTTGTACGTGACAAGGAGTATAGTCGCCTGCCCAACCTCGTGGGTTTTCTCCGAGTCCTCCGGTTTCCTCCGAGTGCTAAAGACCTCTACGCGCAAGCGAATTATTGCAAAAAAAGTGAACCATATGTTAGTTCCGAAATGAACTAGTGTCGAGTGGGCAGTAAGCCCTATTTCTCTCTCTCACTCTCTCCTTACCAAGGTTTATTTATTTAACTGATATTATCTGTCCTCGTTTCAATCGGCAGAAAATGTATCAACCCTATTCAAGGGCTTAAGTTAAGTAATAAATGAGTCCAGGTAACGATAGCACAAAAATGATTATTTGTCATTTCATATGGTTTCCTCTTTAAGTTTTGAACCCAGTATTTATGAAACGGTATTCTAAAAATCTGTCATTTTCATTTATCATAATTTCAGAAAGTGATAAGGATTTTGATATTTCGCCTACAAAATTACACAATCCAGTCCCCAATAAATCCAGTAGTATGCCAACTCAGACAACTAGGAACATCGCTTTGGCGACAACCGGTACAGCAAAGAACTTGGCACCAACCCTCGCAAATAGGAACATCTATGTGGTACCGTCACACATAACAAAACGCATCGCACCAACCCACACGATCAGTACAGCGCCACCCAAAACAACCAGATTTTCGTTACTTGGGGGAAATGGATAGCATTTTCCAAAATGATCCAGCTATAATACCCACCTTTACTTTAAACACTGGTACCAAGGCCAAGCGATCAACTGAGTGTGATTCTCAACTTGACACAGAACCAGAACCAAAACCGAAAAGACGTAGCGCAGCTACAGAGGTTTTGGAATTCTTAACCAACTTTGCGTCAAAAGAAGAAGAGAAAAGGAAATGCAAATGAGAGAAAGAATGCACACTGAAAAAATGAATCTTTTAAAATCATTGCTAGAAACAATGAAAAAATAAAGCTTTAACTGACACCAGTTAGTTTGTACAGAGCTACAGATATCTTATACTGTTTTTATATTTTCATTAGAACACACTCAAGTTTGCAGTGTGTTACTTTATTTTCATAGCCTTTTATATCTTCATCACCACATCTTAAATCGGATGGGGGGGGGTAGCGCATGCGCGTTGTGTCATCAGGTCTGTCATTGAGTCAACTGGTGTGGTTTAAATTTTCCGGTTGTAGTGACAAGGAGTAGCTTCGCATGTCCAACCTCGTTGGTTTTCTCCGGGCCCTCTGGGTTCCTCCCATTGCTAAAGATCCCTACAGGCAAGCGAATTATTGAAATAAAATTGAACCATATGCTAGTCCCGAAATGACCTAGTTTGTGTCGAGTGCACGTCGCCCCTCCCCACTATCTCTCATTCTTCATAAATCAGCATTTTGTATAGCAAATTTCACAACTACAAACACGACTGATTTATTTATTTTTTTTACCTGTTAAATATAATGTTAGAACACATCGTCTTTGTTGTGTTAGTGATTTTGTTTGTTTATTTTTTTTATGATTTATACAATGTAGGCCTATGTTTAAAACGTAATAAAGAATAACTTTATCTTTGAAGATTCCTGGCTAAATTATCACGTTTTAATCTAGCCCCAACAGCATCTGGATCTGCTGTATTGACTTGCAGACTGGGTAAATCTTCATCACAGCCAAAGAATTCATCTACACTGTCAGCGTTTAGAATGCATATATTATGGAATATACAACATGTCATAATAATCTTAACAGATGTTTCAATCTTAGTTGTATCTAGATATTGAAGACGTGAAAATCTACCCTTGAGAATTCCAAAAGCACGTTCAATAATTACTCTATTTGATGAGAGTAAAGTATTAAAGTTTCTCTGGTTAGCTGTGAGATGACCGTTATCCCTATAGGGTGTCATCAACCAGTTTAAAAGAGGATAACCCCCGTCTGCTAATATATGTCCTTCTTGACAATACTCCGGTCCTTTCGAAAATAAATCTGAATTTCTAAGAATGCGAGAATCGTGACAGCTTCCAGGAAATCCCACAAAACAATCAATAAAACGCATATCTTCACGACATACTGCTTGCAATTGTATTGAGTGAAATCCCTTACGATTGACGTATGATTTGGGATTATGTTTTGGTGATGTAATCCGGATGTGGGTACCATCCAAGCAACCAACAATTCCAGAAAACCCATTCCTCCATTCAAAACGATCCTTTACAGCTTGAAGTTCATTCCCAACTGGCAATGTTATAAATTTGTCCATTAAATGTACGATTGACACAGCCAAGACTCTGTCTCTACAATTCAGCATTGTTGATTCAGAAATACCAAATCTATCAGATATTTTATGAACTGTATCCTTACTTCCCAAATACCATAATGTAATTAAAAGTTGTTTTTCAACTGAAATGGGTTCTCTGCCCCCCTTTCCTTTTATTACAAATTTTGGATAATCCCTCAAATGATTTGTCAAAACTTCAAATGATGACGAAGACACCCTATACATTCGCTTGAAATTAACCTCACTATACTCTGGCACGATGGACTCCATGTATCCTTTTATTCTTACCCGGTTTTCTCTAATTCTAAAATAAAAATGTATTTATTAAATGAATGTTATTTTGGACTGTAATAGTTAAGGGGATTCAAACAGTGCAATAACAGAAAACGCTGCCGAGATTTCATATATTCGATTTTTGGCGATTCATATTTATTGCCGATTAATAATCTAAGTAAATGACAAGACGCATGTACGTTGTTCATCTACAATAATATGTCACACACAGCATCTATACACACACACCGTTGTAGTAGAAAATAAACGTACAATGAAGCGGCTAATGCAAATGCAGAAACAATATCAAAAGTATCTTTATTGTCCTCATAATCTTCTTCGACAAGTAATTCATCAATCATAAACAACAGGTTGGCTGCCATTTTGGATAACTCCTGCAAATCCCGTGATACTCGATTGTCACTATATTTTGGATTGAGAGAATTCAATTCCGGAACTTTCAATCGAGCATCCCCTATATGTCGTTTTCCAAGTCTGCGCTGCATTAGTAACTATTTGTCGAATCCGAAAATTTCGCACGAGCTATCATCATTTCATTTAAATGTATCATACAACACAGTGTATATATGGATATAACTACTTCTCTGTTATGGTCACGTTTTCAAGTTAATGTGTATAAATAGGTTGACCTGTATGTGTTACGAAACGTCGTTATTAAATAATAGAAAGTAGTTATATCTATTCATATATACCCTGTATTGTCTTTTGTTATGAATAGTTAACTGTACTTCGAGATTTCATTTAAAGAATTGGTTACATTTCATTTAAGTTATCTGATCCATTCCAAAAGAACGCAAATGTTATTCTATTATTAAATCAATCTTTTAATGACATGCTCTGGTATTCTTAAAGCTGATTCTTATATATATAAGATTAATATCTATAAGAAAATATCTACAAGATTAATTTTTTGAATAATATTATTGATTGCGAGCCTTCGATCCCCTGAACAATCTATATTACTATTACAACATCCCCCAACCTCTTCACACCCACCACATTAAAGGTGTTTTAATTAAATTTATCTTCAAGATTATGCATCAATTCGAAGAGACTTTAAACAATAGTTCTATTGATTAGTATCGATATAGAGCTATACGCATTGATTAGTATATAATTTTCAGATGGTAAAGGTTATGAGATTGCTTTGGGTGCGAATGGCAATAAGTATTCTTGTGTACGTCCGTGTACATGGTGTATCTGCTCCAATCAATCTCTAGTATTTGGTAGTCCACTGAATTTTGGTGTCCGAAAAGACTTCTGGATTTTCTGGAATTCGACCTTAATGTCCATTGGAGCCGCATTGAATATAGGAGAAAATGAATTTCTTACGCATCGCTTTGCTACCAAACAACCTGATATCCAACGCATCTTTATCAGCACCTATATACATGATACTGGTATATGGGAAATGCGTAAGTAAAATATTTAAAAAAAAAAAAACAGACACCAGAGTTTTATGATGAATTTCTAAATCTAAAGTCTTCTCAACACCATGCGTTGGTAATTTTGAGACTAACATATGATTATACTAAGGGCATTTGAATTCTGGATGCCAAGGTTTCCTTGTTTACGGGTGTACCTCATTTATTGTCCATTTCGAATGACTAGGCAACGCCTTCCTTGGCAGCAACACGGGATTAAACTTGGACCGGTGTACGGACCTTCCACGTACAAACGGTGGTACTGAATGAGTTAAGTCTTCGTGTAATACTACGGTATAATTTGTCTGCCGAAGTTCCTTTGTACTCGAGTTTACCTAATTTTTAGTCGTACCATTAGAACGGCTAGTACATCATTGGAAGTTAGGTGTTCTTCCAGCCTGAATGACTTGTACTTGCCAGGTCCTCCGTCTTGGGCTATTGGCAAGAGGAAGTCAGACATAAAAATCGTATTGACAGATTGACAGAAATCAATCCTCAATTGTGTTGTATCATTTAAACGACTGCAACACTATTATAAAGATAATAGAGATCGGTTTCGTACAACAGGAACAAGAATATAAAACAGCTACATAAATACAATAGGAACATGAATAAAAGAGGAACTAAACTACACCAGTGACATAAAAATTAACATCAACACAGTACGGGAATAGTTTAAGATAACCACCCCGCCCTCTCCCACGGCACCGGCTAAACTCTGGGCTCTCCTCTGTCCCTCTCCGCTCGTCTTTCTATATGCGTCTAATTTATCTGTCGGTAAACTCGTGGTCATATATAGTCCATATAGTATATGCAAGTTTAGACTTTTTTGTAAAAACAGATTTCAATTAAGTCCGTACCAGTTACTTACGATGTCACGCCTCTGTAAGCAGACCTATGTGAGATTTTGAACTGGTCGACTGTATTGATTTGTTTAATAACCTACATTGTTAATGAAACTGCGTATTTATAGTTGTATTTGAGGTTTGAAACAGATAATAGTGATGTCATTACATAGCGTGATAAATAAAACAAAACTAGATTTGACCTTGAGGTCATGCCATCTTTTACAAAGTTGAAGATGTTTATTGCATCATCAGTTCAGCAATAAAATTTATATGATTTCAGCTGATTACTTGACATTTGTTACCAAGTCAAATCTGGAGAATACAATAATCTATTGGGATGTGGCTGGTGTTTCATCTGCTTTATTTTCAATAGAAACTTGTGGAAGTGTAGATATAATCTTCACCGCCAATTTGGCTCATGTATATTATAAAGTTGGTTTAGGGGACTGTTCTAACAGGTGTACAATTATCCAGAAGATCTTGTCTAACAACACAGAAAGTACTCCTACTACTGTTAAAGTCCACGTAAATCCTCTATGGTGCTCGCGTTATGAAGATATATGGATAAGCTGGGAAAATACCATAAATAGACTAGAAGTTGGAACTGGACACGTTCTTCACCAGGATGTCATTGTTGCTATGGACAACATGGAAAAGGATGATGTTGTCGAACGGATGACGATACAGAGCTCATTATCTGCTAAGTGGAAAATAGGTAAGTTTGTTTTAGCAAGCATCGCGTGGTGAGATTGATCAATTATGAATATGAAAGAACACAATCGAAATTCAGATTTCACCGAATGAAATTTCTTCTACCGGATGCCATAGCGGCAATACTATATACCGGAAAACAACCAGAATCCACCGGAAAACTACCGGAAAACACCATGTTATTCTGAATACCGGAAAACCACTAAATACAGGAAAACACACTAAATACCGGAAAACACCCTAAATAGGTAACAAAGAGTCTGGTCCTCCGTTTGCGGACAGGTAGGGTTATTGTTAGGGCTAGGGTTAGGTTTTTCCGGTGTTTTCCAGAGGACCAGCGATAGGTAAGGTTTAAGAATTTGGGGGAGAGGTAAAGTCTCCGCATAAGCACTGACCTAGGATGATGAAAAGTTAGTTCGCGATATTTCCTACTTTTATTAAAAATACATACAATATATTAGATTAATTTACAAAAGTGATTTCACTGTTTTTGGTGTTGGTGGCGCTGATGGTCTTCCTTGGATGGTACTTCTGGTATTCTGGTGTTTTTGTTTCTGAAGAAGAAAAAACAATAAATTGGATTTTCTAAAAAATCGTGTTTGTTCCACATCACCGGGTTAGGGCTAGGGATTCTGATATCTAGTTGCTTTTATTTACTAACGGTTAGAGATAGTATTTGATATATGGTTTGTTTTGGGTTAGGGTGAAGACTGGTTTTATTTAATCTAATTTACTGTGCACTAGGATATCGTTCAGATATTTTGTTTAGAATATGCAATTATAAGTTTCTGTGTACATATTTCGGGTGATTTTCTTGGAGATCAGTATAGTGTTTTCTGATGAAAACAATAGCGCTATTGCGTTAGCCGTATGAATATTCAAACCTAGGGGAGCTGTTGTTTTCAATTTGTCAATCCAGAATGTTTCTCTTGTTAGCCTAAACGTTTTAATTTCTTCTGTAGTTTCAAAGTCGCTCTTGGTCTTTTCTATTGGCGTGACAATGAGATCAGAAATGTCATGATTTGGTTGGTTGAAATGAATTGAGACCGGTTTCTCTTTTTTGGTGACTATGTCTGATCCGTGAACGTTAATTCTGTCCCTAAGTGCATTTTGAGTCTCCCCTACGCATTGCTTGTCACACTGCCTGCATGAAATTAGATAAATTATATTTGAACTACTGCATGAAAGTTGGTCTAATATTGTGAATTGTGTGCTAGATGTTTTGTTATAGAAATGGTCGGATATGTTTAAGATTTTGCAGGTTTGATGGCCACAAGTTTTGGTTGTAACTGCTGATTGCATATTATTTGTTTCTTTGGCGGCAAGTTCAGCCAGTGTTGTTTTTAATACGACGTACATGCTAAATACCAGCGTACATGCTGACTCAAAGTCGGTCTTCTGAGTACATATCCTATGAAAACGGAGAATCTGTGATTTTATGATGCCATAGAAGGTATGTTTGGGGTGAAAGGAGCTCTTGAACAATAATTGATGTGTATCGGTTTCTTTGAAAAATACTTTAGTTTCCAGTTGGCCGGTGTTTTTGGTCTTGCTACTTTTAAAGACGGTGGTGTCAAGAAAATCTATGCTGGTATGACTTACATTTGCGGTTAATTTGAGAGATGGATGATGATCGTTCAGAATGTTGAAAAACGTCCAAAATCCGTCTAGTGTGTACGTCCAGACTATGAAAACGTCATCTAGAAAGCGCCCATAGAAATCCGGTTTTAATGGGCAGAGCGGCAGAACTTCCCTTTCCCACTCCGCCATGAAGTGGTTTGCATAACTCGGGGCAAATCGTTTTCCCATCGCAGTTCCGGAAGACTGGAGGTATACTTGGTCGTTGAAAGCGAAGTCATTCCTCCTCAGACAAATGTCGAGTAGTTTGAGGATTTCTTCGTCCGGCCTGGGTGCTTGCGGGTTCCTAAGAAATGTTTTTTCCTAACTGCTTCAATACCCGTGTTATTATCTGTACGTCGATGGATATTACAATAGTGTGTTCGGGGACTCTTAACTGTTTGATTTTGTGAATTAAATCGTTAGTGTCTTTAAGGTAGGATTGGTGTTGGCATGCTAGGGGTAATAAGAAATGGTCTATATATTGTGATACGTTGTATGATTCGCTGCCACAGTCTGATATTATTGGGCGCCCCTTGGGTAATGTATTAGGTATAAACCATTCTGTTTCTGGATTTTTATGTATTTTTGGTAGTGTATAGAGATGTCTTTGTCGGCAATCAGATTTAGCAGATAGATAATCATATTGTTTTGCTGCTATGTATTCCATGTCTTGCAATTCATGTAAGATGTTGTTTATTAAAGTTGCGGTGTCCTTAAAGATGGGTCGATCTAATTTAGTGTAATGTATAGGAGAACTTA